ATGTTTGGTTTAGATTGTATACATGTATGTTTGTAAATGCTATCTTGAAGTAAGTTAGTGCTTTTGTAAGTTGCACCGTAAATAATCATGTGACATGTTTCTCAGTGATGTGAATCAATGTTTAATGATACTTTTGTTCAATCATACAGGAACTGACTCCGAAGAAGGACTCCAAATCAACACCAAGACATCCAACATGCAAACACAGAACAGACAGCCTTACCCAGAGTGCATGGCAGCAGTGGAGTCAGATGTGGATAGGATTGTTTATACATGAGCAGTTCTACAACATATTTCCCAAAAGTTAACATTGTGGTGTGCCATGTGCCTCAGGTGGTCAGTATTGATACATGTAGAGACCATAGGTTACTGTATTTTGCCTTATTTTGACAAACATTTAGATTTGTTTTTGTGTCTGATGGTTGTCAGATGATTCGACACAAGCTATTAAGGTCTTATTACTATATTAGCCTTACCAGAATGTGTACTGTAAAATGTATTCCAGTTCCAATCTCCAGTGATGTAATATGATGACAATGATACATTTTACATTGTGTCGCAAAAAGTCACTGATATTGTGGAAAAAGAGCAAAACAATGCAAGGCTTTGTAAGCTCCACTGAATGTCAACCCATATACAAAATGTATCACAAGCCAGTTTTGTAATTTCCTTGTTATGTCAATGTTTCTTTGAATAGTTTTCAAGCTTTTTATCATGTGGGATATAATGACATGTTAAGGGTGACAAGTTGGTATGGATTTTCCATAGAACATGTGACAACTTTTCCTGGTACATGTTAAACCAAATGTATTAGTTTCTCAAAGGCTGTGTGTTAGTACAGAATTATAATATTTATAATATATTTAGATTGTGTCTGCTGATATTCTGTGTGTTCATGAGAAATGCTGCTTGTATTTATTATTATTATTATGTTGTATGTGTATGTATATGTCTTTGAGTGTTGTTAGTACAACACAGGTGGTCATTGATCATTTGAACATTATAAGAAAAAAGTGCATAACTTGTACGTATAACTTTTACTTACTTGTATGTAATGCTTATTTGCATACCTTTTAGAAAAGGTAACTGCCAATTTATGTTTAATTTGTATGCTTTTTAAATAAATATTTCTGAGTTCTGCCCAGAACCCATTTCCTGTGCTTGTATGTAATTCAGGGGAGTGATACAACGTAATTAAGGAAATATGGGTAAAGGGGGGTAAATATGGCAAGACGTTCTGGTAAGGGCATGTACGCGTAAATACGGGTAAATTCAACTAAATGTCAGAAATACCATGCTCGGTAAATCTCGGTAAATACCTGAAATGAGAAATACCCCATATGGTAAATCTCGGTAAATGCCTGAAATGCATGTGAAAAATACCCCATATGGTAAATCTCGGTAAATATATGTGAGAAATACCGCGCACGTTAAATCTCGCTAAATACGTATTTACACGAAACCGGTAAATGTAGGTAAATAAGGCAAACATTACCACCTATACCATGCAGGTAAATACCGGGTAAATTTGCACATTTACCGACGGGTAAATGTTGGTAAATCACTGGTAAATGTAACCTTTACCCGGCTTTACATCACATTTACCTTGGTGGTAAATCCCACTTTTCGTGCAGTGGGCGTTACCAGCCCTGTGGCATGTGAACCCAGTCCTATCATGGCGTACTTACAAGGAGGGGGGCCCATTACCTGTATGCACTCACCTACAAGGCTGGCTATGAATGTTCTTCTTTGATGAACAATAGTGTCAAACAATGCTTTGATTGCTTCTGCTCTCTTCCTCTCTACTTCAATAATACTTGGGTCATCTTCATCAAGGCAGTAAGGATCTACACGTTTCTCAATTCTTTTCATCTCCTCTGCCACATAGTCACGACATTCCGATAACTGTGATTTGTGTTTCTTTATGTCATCGCATGGTACCGTTAATTTCAAACCTAAGACGTGCTTAACAAACGATTGAGTTATCGTATGAATCGTTTGCTCGATATCTTCTCTGTCTTCTTCCCTGGATCTCACCAGTGCTGCATTACAGAGTGCTGTAGCCTTGGTGAAATCACCTCCGTCTTTGGACTGCATTCCTCTCTTCAGGTAGACATCGGTCAATTTGCAAATGGGCTCTACTTCTTTCCAGTGCTGACCTGTATTTGATTCTGTTTAAAACAAAAATTGCAAGTTGTTACCTTCGCTGACCAGGATACGTTTTCCGGGCTACGTTTGTGTTCTATTTATAAGCAGGATGACTGGAGAAGTTGTGGATTGATCTTTACAATATTGGTAGGTTTTGACAAACTGAAGAATCGATAGTATATGAGTCCCCTAGCGTACTACAACATGACTTTTGTCTTTGATCCCTCGTAATCTTGAATTTATATGGTTACGATGTCCAAAATGCTGCGTAGGCTTAAGCCCCGTAGGAGATTTTTTCGGAACTGCGCGAAGAGACTGATTGAGAAGTGGGTTGGGAATTGTTTTGGAGGCTGAATTAATGAATTTATGATCAGGACTTTAAGGAAAGTTAATCAGGAAATTAATATTTTGTATGTCGATAGCTTTAGTGATAATTGACATAATTAAATGCTAATTTAAGTATAATTAATAGTATAGTAGACAGGATTTTGCAGTGCGATCCAAAATGTGAAACATGTTAAACTGAAAAAAAAAGTAACACCATATGAAACATGTAAATGAAAACCTCATTTGCATAGTATCAGGAAATTCTATTGCAGTCAATGATTGGGATGCGGCGTTTAGGCGTAAACCATGGCCTATTTTGCTTTTGCGATAATTAGATAAGAACATGCTACAGTAGCCTTCGCCTCTTTGGGTTAAGACGATCACTAAGAAATAGTTTGTGCAGATAAGGGGCTTAATTGTAAAACCTTCATGATATTTTCTTTGCAACATCCTTTGTTGAAGCTGTGAGGTCGGGTGAGGTTGCGAAACTGCAGTCTACTGTACGTTTGTTTGCCATGTCAATTACTAACGACCAAAAATAACATTTCCTAGTCTTGTCTTGCTGCACCAAGGGGCATCGATTCTAGACATGTATTTTCAAAGACATACCTTTCACATGGACGACCTTGAGTGCAGCTGCAAAGTTGTGTTCTGCCGTGTCCAGGTCCCCTGCCTGCAGAGCCCTGCAGCCCTTCTGTATGTGCTGTTCGTACGACATGGGAGGAGACGTGAGGCAGTTGTCACTTCCAACTTTCTTCAGTGATGGGCCTGTTTTCAGGCGTTTCCTGGCTTTCTGTGAAGCGGAAGGGGGATAGTTTAAGAAGAACTAAAAGCACAATTCTTTCTAGAACAATTTCGTCAAATACATAATGACATGTGAGTCTTTTAATTAGCAATAAATATTTAACCAACAATTCAACAATATATGTAAATCAATGATTTAAAAATAAAGTCAAAAGATATAATATTTTGCAGCAACTTTTCCACTTGAACAAGTTTGACGATCCATCTATGGAAAATATGTCAATATATAGTATGTAAAGCCGAAAAAGGAAAAGAGGTCAGATTCCTACCCTTGTTTCTACTTCTCGTACTTTCTCCGCGTACTTGATGCGATGCTTCAGAGTTTCTCTGCCGTCTGAATCTTCACAGCGGTCCAGCGCCGCTCGGTACAGACCGGCTGATTTCGTGAAGACTGCCTCGTCCTTACCAACCCTTCCCTTTTCTAGGTACAGATCTCCGATACTCTTTAACGATTCTGTTTGCAGACGTTGATTTCTTTCCACGATAGCGTTTACAAAGGATTCTGTATAACTTTCAACCAATGGCATCATACCGTGTCTTTTAATCCTTGTCTTCTCTGTTATGCCATGCAATGTCATGGATACAGCCAATGTCGTATTGCCTGAATTTCTGGGAGCAAGTTGATTATGTACCAGTTTCGTACATTTCTCTGCATAACTGATTCGACGTTGAAGAACTTGCTTCTCCTCGTTAATTTTGTAGTATTGTAAGAGTTCTGTGTAGAGTGAACATGCTTTGTAGAAGTTCTCTACTTTATTATCGTTCATCTTAGCTTTCTGCAGGTACAGATCTCCTAGACTTTTCAAGGCCTCACACTCCAAAATGTTGTTTTGAGTACTCAAGCCTTGAATTAGTTTACGTCCGTATCCCTTCTCAACAAAATCCAGATCAGATCCACTCCTAAATATCAGGTCCAGTTCCCGAAGTTCTTCCGCGACTGTCGACAGTGTTGTCGTTGCATTTGCCATACCTGTTTCTTTGTCGTCACACTCTTCTTTTGTGTAATCC